ATAACACTTTTAAAAATGTATGGGACAGAAGGAATTTCATAAGAAAGTGTAAAAAAACAGAAGTTTGAAAATTATGTGTAGAATTTATTATATACTTTTTTAAAGAAGCAAATGATAACAGATTCATCATTTCATATAGAATCCTTTTTGTGTGTTCTGTGTATATGGAAGTAATTTTTTTTGGTCCTAAAATTCACAATTAAAACAATTTTAAAATATGGAATGGGAATAAATGAACAAGGAATGGGGAAGGTGGAGATATAGGATTGACTAACAAATTATTTTTAATCTATGAAATTCATTTATTTAAATGTAAATAGTTGTAAAGCATCTCTAATTGGTTGTATCGATGCTTAACATTATGCTTATAATAAATCATTTAATTTTTAAAATAAATTAAATCTTGCATCCCACCAAAGGAAACCAGCTAGTGACAGCTGCAGCGTGGTCCCAGACTCTTCTTTGGAGCCTAGGAAAGCCACTCCCTGTTTATTAGTATCCTGTCTACAACGTCTTCTGAGGGCATGGTTGCACCGTATTGCCCAGTGACTCCCCTTTACCAGTCTTGCTAGGATGGGTACCACTAATCTCACATTGACTCCTTTTCTTAGTTCGGAAAAGTTCAGAAAATGTGACCTTGTGGCTTCCCAGCTAAAATTTCATCTTCTATCGGAAGATTTCTGGAAACCTTCTTACTTCTGGTGTCTTTCTCTATTGATTATTTCTTACCCTTACCCAATTACTTCTAACCTTACACAGAGTTTGTTAGTAATATTTGTTTGCTTTTTTTCTCCTCTATTCAGAGACTGTCTTTTGCCTTTCTTTCTATTCCAATGTTTAGCAGTGCCTGGCACATAGTAGGAACTTAATACATGTTTACTGACTGACTGGGCATAGTCAGTAAAATACTATCACCAGGCCTAAGAAAATGTGAGGGAATATTTACTTTAAAGCCTGGAACCTCCCCTGCTCTAAGTACTTTAAGTACTTCTTTAAGTACCTTTTTTTTTTTTTTAAGATTAGTCGGTGATTAACTCCTCAAGTCAGTAAATTCCCCCTTTGTTTCTGAGAAGTGATTGCCTAGATTGATTCAGAATGTGTGTGATTGTAAGGACTGTACCAGAAAGGAGAGAGGGAGGGGGAAAAAATTTGAGTGGCAGTTATTGGTGAGGGGGAGGGGTCAATCAATCATTATTCAGCATTGATCAGATTTATTCTCTGCCAAAAGCTGTACTAAAAACTGGAGATAAAAAGAAAGGTCCTACCTATCCTCAAGGCATATTCCAGTGGGAGAGACAATGTGCACACAAGTGGACATACAAAATATATAGATATAGTCTGTAAATGAAAAATAATCCCATAAGGAAGGCCAGGGGTGGGAATAGGGGGAGGGTCTGTGGTGTTGAGGAGGGCAAGAGTGGGTGGTGAGTAGGTAAAGGTCTTTTATAGAAGAGTTTGAGCTTTGTTTGGGAAGCTAGTTAACGGAGCTGAGGAGTGAGGGCATTTCAGGCAGCCAATATAGAATTCTGTTTCCACCTAATCAATGTAAATAAGGAAGGGGAGGGGTTGCCTGGGGAAAGCATATAAAAACTCAGCACTGGCTTGGTCTGAGAACTTTCCTGCTCAGAGCTAACTCTCCCGCTGCTGGAGTTCTTGGAAGAAAACAGCCAACCCAGCTATCAAAGGTAGGTTTCCTTGGGGAAATTGGCAGTGGAATTTGAACCCAGGACTATTGGCTCCAAACCTAGAAGTCTTTTTCTATCAAATCACACGACATCCTCCTCCTTCTACTGGCAGAGTGGAGAGACCTTTGGACTTGGAGTTCAAATTCTGCCTCATAACAATTATCAGCTGTGGTGACCCTGGCCTAGTCACCCTCTCTCAACTTCAATTTGCCTACATTAGGAATAACCCATAGCACTTGCATTACTTTGCTTGTGAGGATCAAGTGAGAAGACTTAAAGTGATTTAAAACATTCATTATTATCATTACTTGGCCTAGGTGACTTCCTAGAGAATCAACCTGCAAAAACCATGTATATTAGAAGATCTATAGGTATAGATTTGAATAGGTGTAGAGTATAAATGGAAGGTAGTCCCAGAAGGAAAGTGAGGGGTGGGGGAGTGGGAAGATGAACGCTGAAGGCATGGTTGTATTTTTTTGGGAGGAGGATGAGGCAGGGTTCACCTGGGCAATCAGTTGGTTGCCTCCTACCATTTCTTTCTACTTTCCAACTGGGAGGAAGTATGATTTAAGTCAGTCTTGCTATTCTTTTTAGAAGGGGTGTGTCAGTTCTCAGCATTTTATTCCTAATAAACAGCAAGAATCTTCTTTGATTTTTGTGTTTCCAACACTTAGAAGAAAGGTTGGCACTTAGTTCTTTCCCACACTACCTTTTCATCTGTCCACACTTGGAAACTAGCTCGTCAGCTGTGACTTCAAGTCTCCTGGGAAGCTTCCTACAATATCTTTCTCACGCACCTCCAAGAGCAGCATTAAGACAGAAGATAAAGCAAGGTGATGGGAAGGCTGGGCTTTCATATTGGGAAAAGTCAGACCATGAAAAAGCAATGAGGATTCATTTTGTTCACTCCCTGTCAGGTTCCATATAATGTTGTCCAAGGTTTAAGGAGGCATGTTCTAATCCTGTTATTTGGTGGAGCAATTGATCAGGAAGCATTGATTTAGGGCTGACTGAGGGAGGCCCTTAGCTAAATGGTTAAGGGTACAAAGGCAAGAAATGGAATCCTCTAGCTGCAGACACTTGGCAATCTCCGTGTGCACACAGGGTACACATCCTAGATACAATGAAAATACAAGATTGAAGGACCAGAGCTTTGATGGCCTGTAGAAGGCAGGTACTCCTTGAATTGATCCTTGAAGGCAGTTACTGGCTTCTAAGTGTCAGAGGTGAGGAGGTAATTAGTGAACCAAATTCCTGCTCATTTTTATCTTGAATAGAGTATGAATTAGATGTTTGCTTTTTAAAATGGTTCTTGATAAGTTTTGTTACAAGCCATCATGCAGACATCATTAACTCCCAATTGATTCCCACGGCCCCCCCCCCCCCACAAGGTACAATGGATGGATTCAGTTTAAATAAGCCTACAAAAATGATTGTGACTGATAATATGTACGTGCAGCCTGATGCATTAGTGGACATCTTGGATTCTCACGAAAGGTGATTGAAGATTACCTTTCTTATCCCTACTTTGCAAAAGAACAGGGAGACCTCATAGTGATTTGCTCCATGTTCACAAGGTTAGTATGTATTTAAGGTAGGATTTGAACTTGGGTCTTCCTGACTGCCAATCCAAGTAGAGAAAGGAAAGGAAAAAGACAGGACCTTTCCTTTGCTAGTGCCAAGACTTTGTACATTTGTCCTTGATCTCTGCTGAGAACTCTTAATCTTCCACTCTTAATTTTCATTCATCTGCTACTTAACAAACATCTCCTATTCTCTATCCTTTTAAAAAAAAAAACCTTCATTCACTTGATCCTATTTGTCTTCAAACTTCTTCCTGACCTCATTTGAGGTTTTCTTGACAATGACCTTTTGTTAAGGTTCTACTTTCCTGACCTTTAGGCAGAATTTGACTTGACTATAAGCTTCTCTCAGTTTCCCAGACTGTTACTACTGATTCTTTTTTTTTTTTTTTTAATTTTTAGTGAATTTTCAACATTCACTTCCATACAGTTTTTTTTTGGGGGGGGGGGGCAAGGCAATTGGTGTTAAGCAACTAGCCCATAGTCACAACTAGTAAGTGTCTGAGGCCAGATTTGAACGGGTCCTCCTGACTTCAGGGTTGGGGCTCTATCTACTGCCCCACCTAGCTGCCCTTCCATAAGCTCTTGGGTTTTAAATTTCTCCTCTTCCCCTCCTACCTCAATCTGACATAGGCTCCACATATACATTCCTATTAAACATTTTCACATTAGTCATATTGTAAAAAATTAGAACCAATAGGAGAAACCACAAGAAAGAAGAAACAAGACGAAACAAAAAGAGCAAACGATATGCTTTGATCTGCATTCAGACTTCATAGTTATTTCTCTGGATGTGGATAGCATTTTCCATCATCGTATGTTTGGAGTTGTCTTAGATCCTTGCATTGCTGAGAAGAGCTAACTCTATCAAAGTTAGTCATAGCACAATGTGGCTGTTACCGTGTACAATGTTCTCCTGGTTCTGTGAACGCATTTGCAACAGGGATATAGCACCTCTTATCTCATGTACTCTCCCTGGAATGTGACTGATCAGCAGGGCAGAGTGGTGTCCTGGATGGTTTTGGGATTTCCAAAGTCTAAAGGCCCAAACCTCAAATGGTGGGTGGATGACCAGGAAACCTTGTTAGGTCCAGAAGCTACCAGAAAGCTGTTCTGTAGCCTGGAGGGCAGGGAGGTGAAGGAGAGGGAAAAACTCTTGGTAGATCTTGATCCCAGGGAAATCCGGAAAAACTTATTTCTCTTTTCTTGTGGTAGTTGTTTTCCTTAGATTGTGCAAAAACTCTAGTTGTGCTGAAATGAGAGAGAGAAGTTGGGAATGCTTTAATTTGTTTGAATTTTGATGTACCGTGCTTGGGTCAGGCCTCCCAAAATCACGATTCCCCCATTTTGGTTTCTCACCTGGTCTTTCTCCCCATTTTTTTGAGACAATGGGGGTTAAGTGACTTGCCCAAGGTCACTCACCTAGCTAGTAAGTGTCTGAGGCCTGATCTGAACTCAGGTCCTCCTGACTCCAGGGCTGGTGCTCTATACACTGTGTTACCTACCTGCCCCCCTTTCTCCCCATTTCTTAATACTCCTAGGACTGGCAAATTCTTTTTATCACTTGATCAGTCCTCAAGTTTATTGTGATGATTGCTCTTGATATGAATCCTCAGCTGTGGGACTGGGAGGGAGAATTACTTTTGTTCTTTACCAGCTACTTTGCTGGAGGGATGGACCCTGAGAAAAAGATCCTTAACACCCTCACACTTTCTCTTTCTTTCTCAGGATCATGGCTTCTAAAGACATTACTGAAGGTCATCAGAATGTGCTCTCCTGTGGCATTTGTCAGGCCCATCTCATAGACCCAGTGGTGGCTGATTGTGGACACAGTGTTTGCCAATCTTGTCTCAGTGACTCCAGTGAAGATTTTGGGCATACCTCCTGCTGCAGGTGCAGGGCCATCTTCCACTCAAGCCTTTTAGCTGCCGCTTTAAGGAGAAGAAGAAAACTCCCTCCAAAGAAGCCTGTTACCAATAAACAACCTCCACAGAGGCCTGAGGGACCCAACAAGTGTGACCTCCACCAGGAGGTTAAGAAGTTGTTTTGTATGAATGATCAGACCCTACTCTGTGTGCCCTGTTCACAATCCCAGGAACATGAAGCTCACACAGTCCAACCCATAGAAGAAGCTGCTAAGCTCTATAAGGTGAGTAACTGGGGCATCGGAATTGGCAATATTAGGAGACGAGTAACCATTGGGTAATGACAGATCATTACCGAGGGAGTTCATGACCTGAGTGAGTGCCTCTTTCCACCTACCTCCCTCTCCCCCCAAGTTCATTTTGCTCACTCCCAAGTTAGCCTTTTATCTCTGAGCCACCCCTTTAAAGGATTGAACTATCACAGCTGAGGACGAGGGCCCTAAAACAAATAGTACTAGCTTGTCAGGCCTCCTGAATTTCTTAGCCCCTGCCCCTTACTAAAGCTGTCTCCTGTTTCTTTTGCAGAAAAAGCTCCAGGAAAATCTCAGACTTGTAAATGGAAATTTAAAAGATGTTCAGAAGCTAATCTTTGAGGAGAAGAAGATACCTCGTTCATGGGCTGTTGTGTGGACAGTAAGTGTGTCTGACTCTTTCTTCCCCATAAGTTTGTGTATCCTTTATTTGATCTTCCAGTGATATGTAGTTTGATCAGATACAAAAGGGTTAAGTGACTCAAATCCAAACTCTGTGCTGTATGCTAAGCTAGCAAACAGAAGCTCACCCTGCCTCAGACCCTTCTACCCTTTGAAGTCAGAATCATAGGGTTTGATAATTGCAAGGGACTTATATATCCATCTAACCCAAGGAATCTCAACTATAATATGCCTTGACAAAGGGTCATCTACTTTCTGCTCCAAGAAGAGAGGTCCAAGGAAGAGCAAATATCCACCTACCTCTCCAGCCCCCCCATGTCTCTTTGGGGACAGCTCTGATCATTAGGAAGTTTTGCCTGACATAAGTCTTTGCAACTTGCTCTAGGCACTGTTCCTGGTTCTACCCTCAGGGTCAGACAAAACAATTTTTCCTTCTTGTGATGGTTAAACCCTTTTGAACCCAGTGGTTAAGAGCTCTCTCCCCTTCCCCCCCAGTCTTGGATTCAAAGTCCTTAGGATCTTCTTAACCTTACTTTGGGTGCTGGCAATGGTAGTATCAATGGTGATTAGAACTGAACGCAGACAGGAACTTGGGACAGAAGTTAGGTCTTCCTTACTGCCCTCTAGTGCATTAGCTTTATTTTGATTGCTGCATCACACAAAACTCCCAAATGTTTTTCAGGTGAGGTCCTGCCTAGCCATGCCTCCAGCACACTTTTTTCTACCCTAGTGAAAGACTTTATTTCAAGATCTTTTGCATCCTGACTCTTCATCCACTCTCAGCTTTTCCTCACCTGCAAGCTTATGAGTACCGATAGCATCCGTACCTTTTTTTTTTACTTAACATTCCTTGTCTTAAATTTTGAGTTCAAATTTATGATCTGTCCTTGCGTTCTTCACTTTGTACCAGTTCATATAGGTCTTCAGTCCTTTTCTGAAACCACCGCCTCATCTCTTATAGCAAAGTAGTTACTCCATTAGCATCTTATGCCACACCATTTACAACCATCCCCTGATTGATGAGCATCCCCTTGATTTCAATTCTTTGCCACCATAAAATTGTGGTGCAATAAACATTTTGGTCATTTTCCTTTTCTTTGATGTCTTTAGAATACTGACCCGAGAGGAAGCCTAGAGGATAGAGCACTGGACCTGGACTCTGGAAGACAGAGTTCAGATCCAGCCTCCAGACACTTCATTGCTATGTGACTGGTTAAGTCACTTAACCTCTGATTGCCTGCAAATGGATCTGCTGGATCCAGTGGAGAAGGAAATGGCAAAACACTCCAGGAAAACCCCAAATGGGGTCACAAAGGGCAGGACACAACTGAAACATATAATATTGCTGAATTAAAGGGTATATACAATTTTTGTAGACCTTTGGGCCTAGTTCCACATTGTTCTCCAGAAAGGAGAATTGTTCTCCAGTTCTACTCTACTAACAGTTCATTAGTATACTGTCTTTGTTGTTGTCCATGGGGTTCTCGGCAAAGATAGGGACTAGTTTGTCATTTCCTTCACCAATGAATTAAGGCAAACAGGTTAAGTGACTTGTCCAGGGTCACATAGCTAGTGTCTCCAAGCCTAGAAAGAGCTCCCAAGTATATTCTAGTATATACTTGCTTAGTAACTATCAAATAGGAAGTAAGTCTGCCTGCCATGACTTTTTGGGATCTTAAATTCCCTTTTATTCACCATATTGTCACTTTTTTTCCCAACATGTGTATTGTGGAAATGTTCTCGATATCACTTGTATATAATTTCTTGCCTTCTCAGTGGATGGGAGACAGGCTAGAAAGATTAAATAACATTCCCCAGGTCACCTAGTTTGCTAATGAGAAGAGCATGTACTTCAATTCAGGCTTCCTAATTCCTGCTTAGTCCAGTGTTCTAATATACTTGACAGACCAGGCTGGAAGTCAAAATTGATTAGAAGTGGCTATTGTCCTCCTTATAATTAACATCAGAGCATGTGTCGCTGTAGGAACAAGTAGAAATGCCAAGAGAAACCTTTGAGGAAAAATTTCAAGAAATAAGTGAATTCCTGAGTGACGAGGAAGAGGAGGTCCACAGTCTTGTGGACCTGGATGAGGAGGAGGATGAAATGTTTGAGCAGCTGAAGGAGCAGGAGGCCTGGCAGGAAACTCTCAACAAAGAGAAAAAGAGGATGAGCCGCTTCCATCTGTCCCATTACAAGAATGAGCTGAGGGAAATGGCCTCCAGTTTGGAAGAAAAGTCTCAGATGACAGACACTGAACTTCTGCAGGTGAGAAACTTATGATGGTCTCTAGGCAGTGGTGAGAATTTTCAAGCTTATGACAAGGGTGTCTTACTCAAATTTATCCATCTAGAGCCAGAGGGGGATAGGGTCCTGTGGCTTCCTTTAATTATTATGCCTTGGAGGGGCATCTAGGTGGCACAGTGGGTAGAGCACCGGCCCTGGATTCAGGAGGACCTGAGTTCAAATCTGCCCTCAGACACAACAATAGCTGTGTGGACTTGGGCAAGTCACTTAACCCCATTGCCTAGCCAAAATTAAATAAATAGCAACAAATAAATAAATAAATAAATTATGCCTTGGAAACCTGCCAGCCTTTGACCTTTTCTTTTCTCTCTCCTAGGATGTAGAAGACACACTGCACAAGTAAGTTAACATTCCGAAGAAAAATAATAGGTTATCAAGGATAGTAGGGGTAAGGGTAATAATAGCTGTGCCTGAAACAGGGTAAGGCCTTTGGTGCCATGGAAAGCACAGAGCCTGTGGTGACTAGGATAACTAAGTATCTCTTTTCCCTTAGGAGTGAGTCCCTGTTGTTTCGAACCCCAAAACCTTTCACACCAAAACTGAGCCAGTCTTACTGTATGGAGTTAAGAGAATTTCTGAAAAAATTTCAAGGTAAGTGTCAGCGCTTTGAGTCAAGATTTGGGCTTTCTTCTGAGGGTCAAACCATATACCTTTTGAATTTGTGGTCTTAGATCTCTTGGCTATCAAGAATCTGGTGCAAGTACCAAAGACTACAAGCTGATAAGATCTTGCATTAAGTAGGGGGTGTTTCTACATCACCAGGTTCTCCCTACCCTGGGAAACTTATTGACTGGTATGGTCTAAAACAACAATCATTTGCAAATAGTTAATGGGTAAATTAGAACCTTCCTGGAACATAAACCTCCCTACTTGGGCCAGGCGAGCTGGGGAAAGTTTGGCAGCAGATGATATGGGTGCTGGAAACCTCAGTCAATAGCCCTTCTTCTTGTGTCCAACCCTCCATGCTCCCACTTGGGGTTTTATTGGCAAAGATACTGGGGTGGTTTGCTATTTCCTTCTCCAGCTCATTTTACAGATGAGGAAACTGAGGCAAACAGGGTTAAGGGACTTGCCCAAGTTCATATAGCTAGTAAATGTCCAAGGGCCATCAGGACCAGTGCTATCCAGTGGACCACCTAGCTGCCTCAGCCCCTTCTTCCTACCTAGACAATATTCTTTTCCTATAAGGGGTCCCTAGAACACAACAGAGAGCCCAACCCATCTCTACTTGACACTCAGCACACTGAAGTACTGATTTGGACTAATGATGCCTTTAATCTCTCTGCAGAATCTCGACTGTTGCAATGTCACTATCCTTATGAATTACCTGATGATGACCGAAAGAGGACTTTCACATTTGCAGATATTTCCTCAGGTCAGATGTATGCTATTTATACCTCTGGAAGTCTCCACTACATGAATGGGAGAGACTTGTCTATTACAAAATTGAAAATGGATGACCTTTCTGAAGAAGACGATGATCCCATATTCTCATGTTACTGTTTGCCAATTGAAAGGGAGTACTCGCCTAGTGACTTCCCTCCTAACCCCTCTATAGAATGGCATTAAGGAGGGAACCAAGGTGGCGGAAAGTGGTGACTTGCTTGAGCTGTCACCCAAATGGCTCCAAATAGCCATAGAATGGCATTAAGTCAGGCCTGGGTAAACTTAAGAGCTATTTCAGGATAATCCTAGAATTGTATCCTACTTTTTAATCTTATGTAATGTCCAAAAGGGTACAAAGAAATTGATGGTGATTCTACCAGGGCAAATACTGATATTATATTGATTTTATTTTTGTTAATTAAGAAACTATAGGGGGCAGCTAGGTGGCATAGTAAACAGCATTGGCCCTGGAGTCAGGACAACCAGAGTTCAAATCTGGCCTCCCAGACATAATACTTCCTAGCTGTGTGACTCTGGGCAAGTCACTTAACCCCAATTGCCTCACTTAAATTAAAAATTTTAAAATTCAAAAAAAATTTAAAAATTTAAAATTAAAAAAAAATACAGTGGGATCTTGCATTGTCTACACAAGTCAGCTATGTCTGACAAATATGATTTACAGAAACTGTAAAGCTTGTAATCCATGGGAAATGGTGTTGGATGGGGAACGAAGGAAAGCCTTGTTGGAATCCCACCCCCTCCAATAGTTGCTAACTTGTGTCTTGGACAGACTTGTGCCACAGGTTGATTCACGAAATACATATTAATAAATACTTTATTTTCCAGGTGTTTTTTGTAATCTTGTTAAATGCTTAAGGGAGAACTGTAGGGAAAGGCTGAGGAAATTATGGGGCAGGTCTAATCTAATTAAACTTTCTCTCCAAATCCCTCTGTTCTTACCAAGAGGACCATCTTCCCAGTCACCCTGGCTTATAACCTAGTTGTCCTCTTTTCACTCTACTCAAGTTTAGATTTTACTTTCCTGACATCTTTCACATAAGACCCCTTTTTTCCTCTGACTGGTACCAACCTTGGTGTAGAATTTTACCTCATGTCTGGACTATTGCAACCTCCTAATTGAGAACTACAATGACAAAAATGAGTTTGTCTCTGCTGTCCTATGTTTTATCTAATTGCATATGCCAGCAAATCGAAAGCACATACCAGGGCAAACAGTAGTTCATGGTGAGACAAGAGCACCAAGAAGGGCTTTCCATAGGAGGTGATACTTGAACTCTTCTTTGAAGGTAATCAAGCATTAAAGATGGCAGTACTGTGGTAGGGAGTCACATGATACAAAAACAAAAGAGAAATAGTCCCCGAGTTAGGGTCATTCTTTTGGGGGAAGAGACCATGGGTGTGGGTGGGGGGTATATACCAGAGATGGGAGATAGCCCTAGAGTAAAGGGATAAAGAGGGCTGTGGAAAAAGCAGCAGCCAATGAAGGGAAATATAAGACGGGGAAGGTGTAAGAGATGAGTGACTTTTCTAATTTTCAGGGGAACCAAAGATGGGTAGACAGCAGTTTAAGCATTTTTATAGGAAGAGTTAATTTAAATTTAGAGTATAGATCTGTCACAATCCCCTCAACAATCTTCAAATTAGGAAACAGAAGAAGCAATTGGTTATGGCTTATGTAAGCCTAGTGCCTTTTCTAGATTTTTCACTTAAATATGCACAAATGTTACATTGAATTTTGGGACTTTAGTGAATTCCATTTATGTCCTATGATATGGAGCCAGCTGTTGGCACAATGGATAGAGTGCTGTGCCTCAAGCAGGGGTGGGGAAACGTTGGCCTTAAGCCCACTTGTAATAAAACCACCCTTATTAAAAGGATTTGTTCTAGAAAATTCAGTCAGTCAAGGCAGCACTTAAGGACCTAAAAGACCACTGGTGGCCTTAAGGTCAGAGGGTCCCCACCCCTGGCCTAGAATCAGGAAGTTCTGAGTTCAAATCCCCCCTCAGATATTTACTAGCCTGTTGACCACCTTTTTTCATTTATTCCCTTGATATGTGGTACTTAGGTCTTCAAAGAGCGATAGTTTCCTTATTGTCTATAGTATGATTTTCAATATTAAGGCTGAAGATTCATTTGGAACGTGTTGTAGAATATGATAGTTGTCATTGCAACTAGCCCAATACCTGGCACATATTTGCTGATTGACCCTTTACTCAGATGTTCTGATAACACTCACTGGTCAGAATCCTCCTGTTTTACATGCTACTATTCACACGAAGCCGTGAGGTCTAGACTAAATAAAATTCCACCAATGTACCAACACCTGCAATGTTTGAGGCACAGTTCTAAGTGCTAAGGGGCAAAAAAGACACAATCCCTGCCCTCAGTGAGTGCAGTCTGGTAAAGGTCATGTGGCACATAAATATAAAAGTATTTATTACATATATTTAAAGTATTATACATGTTTAAGTTGTACACATATTTAAGTACATAAGTATTTAACATAAATCAAGTGAGGGAAAATAATCCCTTCTGACTGGGGAAGGAAGTGAAGATGTAAAGGAGGAAATGGCATTTGTTCTTGGTGTGAAAAGATGAAGGGAATTCCAACCCTTTCTACCCTCTCTAGTTCTTTTGAAAGACCAACCTATGGAACAAATTACTGTCAGGGGCAGGATCTCCATGCTTGAACTTTTTGTTTTGGCTAGGCCATGGGGCTAAGTGACTTGCCCAGGGTCACACAGCTAGTAAGTGTTATGTGTCTGAGGCCTGATTTGAACTCAGGTCCTCCTGATTCCAGGGCCTGTGCTCTATCCACTGCACAACCTAGCTGCCCCACACTTTTTTTTTTTTTTAAAGAATGATGTCTGATGTAAATCTGCTAAGGGAAAACATTTCTCTGAGATGACTCAGTCCTGTTGTCTAGAAGTACTTTGGAGCAGATGACCACCAAGGGGGCCTCAGTTCTGGAATCAAATCCTAGGGCACTCCACCTGCATCCCCTTGTCTCACAAAGCTTAATGGAGAAAACGGAAAGGAAGGAGAAAGGAGAACACAAAATAGAGGGGTATTCCTCTTTCCTTTACCCCAAGATAATAAGACTTCTGCTCAGGAATCTATGGGGAATCCTAAGTAGTTTGAGGCTGGTAGTGTTCTAGTTAAGTCCCTAATTGCTCTTCCTGTCTCATGGCCAGAAGTCCCTGGAACATCCCAAGCCAGCTTTGGGGAGCTTATCCAACATCCAGAAACTTTCCAAAATCCTTGAGGTACCCAGAGGTAGCAGCCCTGTTCCAGTTCCTCTGGTAGCCACTCGAGGTCAGGATTGTTCTACAAATGCCTGGCACTCTCAAATAACTTGGAGAATTTTGAAACTGATGTCAAAAGAAACACACAATACAATTAACATTTATTAAACACCTATTATGTGCCAGGCAATGTACTAAGATACAAATGAGAAAAAGAAAGACAGGCCCAGCCCTCAAGGAGCTTACAGTCTAATGGGGGAAGCCAACACCCAAAAGGAAGCTGAAAGGGAGGGCTAGGGGTGAGGAGGAAGGTACCTGATGCAGGTTTATGATGAGGGTGGAGTCAAATCCAAAGGGTGAAGCTGATGAGAAATTAAGAGGTGACTGAGATTCTGAACCCTCTTCAAATGGAGGCTTTAGGAGAAAATGTTTGCCCCTCCCTTGAGCTTCCAGTCATAGGAGCACAGACCCAGGAGGTGCTGGTAAGGTGTGCTTATCAAAGCTGATGCAATGGCTTTGAGTTTTCTGGTGATGAGCTTGGAAGGGTGGGGAGGGGGAAGGGAAGAGTAGGTCATGGTGATGGTAGAGTCATATCCAAAGGGTGCAGCTGATGAGAAACAAGACCTGAAGGATTTAACTGAGCAGCTTTTGGGTCCAGCACTGCTCTGGCCACCATCTGAGATTCAAAGAAGTGTGAGACAGAACTCCTGATCTAGCTGGAAAGACATGATTATAGTAAGAAAAAATGAATCCAATGCTTATTGAGGTGGTATGGACTGAATGCCCTGTCCTACAGGAATTCAAATGAGAGGGACATCACTGGGGGCTTCCTGGAGGAAAGAGTCTTGAGTTGGGGTGTATGGGATGTTCAAGGAGGACCAGCCCCTCTGGTGGGAGGGCTTGCTGAGCCCTTTTCAGGGCTGCTTTATCCGGGATACCTTTGGAATCTACCTGGCACTCAACTCTCACCTGTGACTCCAAGAAGCTATAGCCTGCAGATCAGCCACACCCTGGTAAAACCATCTCAGCAGGCAGCCTAAACCGGGTTGAGGGTAATTGACAGGCCTCGAACCCAGGGAGAGTTAGGGGCATGTCTGCCCAAGCCTGTGAAGACCTCTCCTGGCAGAATGGGAGGATGAGTACAATGTTTCAATGGCCATGAAGGCAGCTGAAGCAGGTGCTGTGGAGGGCCTAGAGATTGGTCAGGTATCTAAGGCACCAGGGTCATTCATTGCATCCCAGGCCATAACCAGTTGTCCTGCCTTTTGACTTGCCCCTGGACTTAGATGACTCTGCAAAAGAGAATGAGACCGACAAGTTTGAAATGATGTCATTGGTCCTTCAAAACAAAAGACCAGAAAAATAGCTGCAGACTTGAATTGGGCCAGGAAGGACTGGAAAGAACCCTGACCTGAGCAATCGTCAGATTCACCCCAATCCAATAAGTATTGTGAGAAGTAAGAATACTTATTGTACCTAAGTGTACTAAATTTGGAGTCAGTGGAATGGGCATATATAGAATCTTAGCTCTTCCACATGTATGAGGGATCTCTGAGGCTCATTTTCTTGTTTATTTTTATTTCCTCTTACAGTTCAACAGAAGAACATTAAACCCAAACAATTAATTACCCAATCTCTAAAATGAAGGGGTTAGGTTGAGGGATCTCTAAACTCCCATTCAGTTTAGTCTTTCTGTGATTCTAAGCCCAAACAGTCTGAATCCTGCATTATGGGATTAAAGAGTTTTTTTCTTGTCTATGTTTTCTTTTGCAACATGACTATTATGAATGTTTTGCATGACTACTACATATGTATAACTTATATGGAATTGTTTGCCTTCTCAAGGAGGGGGGGAGAAGAAGGGAGACAATTTGGAACTCAAAATTTTAAAAATGAATGTTATAAGTTGTTTTTACT